AGCAGTGCGGGTGAAGTATGGAGGCGGCGTTCGAGCACTGCCACCTCCAGTCTTGTTCCCGTGCACTTTTGAGTGGGGTAAGTGGCGCGTTACTGCAGTAGCGGACCCACTCTGCTCACACAGCGACGGCCAAAGTCCACAGAGATGATTTATAGTTGATCTTTAACGTGAAAGTTCTGCTTCATGTCAACCATCATTCATTAGCGTCCCACTCATCCACTACTTCCTACAGCTTCGATATTCTGCATGTTTTCAAGTTCTAGATGAAGTACGCGATTCTTCTGGCACTTTTCGGGTGCGCGGTGGCAATGCGTCAACAGGCTGTTGGAGTAAGCGGCAGGCTTATGTGTGGAAACAGGCCAGCTACAGGAGTCAAGGTGAAATTGTGGGATGAAGACGACGGTAGGATCTCTGATCACATTATTTCCCTGAGGACGCATCGATGTAAAGCAGCCATCATTTTGTTCAGGACCTGATCCTGATGATGTTCTTGATGAAGGCTACACCGATTCAAATGGTGAATTCAGGCTACAGGTTAGCATTTCCGTAATGTTTTATGTCTAAATGCAGTTCAAACTCTGTAAGACTGATTTCAGGGCTCCGAACGTGAACTGACCAATATCGATCCTGTGTTCAAAGTTTACCACGACTGTGACGACGGCATCAAGGTACGTACAATTTGCAAACTAATGTTATCCATGGTTTGGTGACACCTTTTGCGACCCATAGGTAATAAGTAAAATGCTCTCGTAGTACAGGTAGTTCCCGAACTCCCTGACACAATCTCATTCTGCGGTTCAACAGTGTAGTTAAGAGGGCGCATCAGTCATACGACGAAGTTGCATCGCACGCAGATGGTCTGTCGCTTACCTGCTTCAACAGCTGATGGAGGACGGGCTGGCGGTCCGCCAAACCCGGTCTCACTGACACGCCCATCAGCTGCAGCGGTGGACACGGTATAGCTGTAAGATTCGTGAAAAGCTAGTACACCCTTGGCTTGAAGACACATTCAACGATTGGACCTAATGGATAGAATTCCTTTTTATACAGGTAGTTCGGTCCGGTATTTTCAGAAGTTTGTACGCACTTCCACGGTTACCTAGACAGCGACAAGGATTCTGCTGTAGAAGCAGCTGAAGAAACACCATCCGTAGAGGGTTTCTCGAGGGACGAGAAGTGCAAGTGACCTCAAAGTATTCGTTTGATCCGGATGCTGGCGGTGATTAGGGGAACAGGCGCCACCGGCGGCAATTAGGTTCTCTACCAATTGCTGAAGAGACCAAGCGGTACCAACTGGTGGGAAACGGGGTGACGCCGCGCCAAAACACCGGCCCCTCCTTCCGTCAAGCTCCAGCATTCACAGCGGAATAGGACTGTACGTAACGCTCAGTGAGCTGACTTGATTTGTTTGTCATTCGTGATAAGACTACCTGCAAGATCTCTTTCTAGCGCTTCTGTTTTGCCACTCTTTTCAGGCGGCTGTTCGCTTCTTAAAGAAGCCGCATCCAATTGCTGGGGAATTATTGGCCTAATTTTTTGTAGCTCAGACGGCTCCTCTCTATATCTTCACAGTTGAGTCGACCGACAATCTAAACGGGTTGTAAACTGAGAGACCTATGGGGCTGTGAGCTCATGAACGCATTCGCAAGGATGGCGCTTTCCACATCGTTTGGTTTTCAGAGCGGAAGCTCTCAATCGAACAGAGGGCTCATGCGAAGGGGCTCACCTGGTCTTGTGTTCGTATGAATGAAAATAAATGATTTTAGCCGCGTAGCGAAATGAAAATAATATAATTTAGCCCGGCCAGCGAAAAGTGAAGTTCCGCATTCCGGACTCCTACATTTCTGCCGGTAGCACGCCAAGACGTATCTTCGACATCGGAGTACTGAATCTGGAGACGATATTCCCAAAAGAAGAACGCGACCTTGCTGTAAACTACAAGCTCCGTGCGTACAGCTGGTTCTGTAGTGTGCAGAACTTGTGTTTGCCACAGAAAACGAATCGTCTGACCATGAGATCATTTTTAGTTTTTTTTTCTTCAAGGACTGTCAATTTCTGTCATTAACCAATCAATCCAGTTATGTGAAGAATAAGATGTTTATCAGTGCTCTTCAGTATAAGAAATTTTGTTGCTCGCCGAGGTAAAAGTAATGAGATGTTCCTTGCTCCTTATGGCTTGGCACAAGTGAGCTGGTTAGCTCGGTCTATAAGCGCGGTCTGCCACACTGGGCGTAGATGCACTTAAGTGGGCAAAGCCAAGGACAAAACTCTTAGAACGCCTTCAGAAGAGTCGAAGTTTAGGAAAAGTTTTTGAAGTCTACATTTCGTCTATAGTGCTTGTATTTGCCAGAGAACAAGAAAATCACGCAAAAGCGTGCTTTGTATGTAGTTAGAGTCCCTGCACAAGAATATCTAATCCACTTGGCAGATGTATGCCCTTCCAGTGGGCCACTGCCATCGGCGCCAAAACTGAATACAGCGTCGGCTTTTAGGGGACAAGCATCGGACTTACGGCACACGACTGCTGTGTTCAAAGGAGCAAACTGCTCGCGGGGCTCGAATTTTGACAGAACCTACTCCGTATATAGAATGAGCTCGAACTCAAGTTGACTTTGGGAAGGGAAGGGAGCAAGGTGCTTTGCTATTTCCATCACCATAACCAGCTGGATTAAAGCGTTTCGTAGTCAGCAGGGCGTTTATCCACTTTGGGACGTTTATATCACTACCTGAAGCAGCCCCCTAATGTTTTACTAGTAGTTAGTTCAATTCACTGTGCACGGAAAAAGCACACGAGGTTCAGAATTGAGTCGCGCTTGAGACCATGGGTTTTAAAAGAGAGTCAGAAGAGAAAACGTGCGAATCAACACAAAACAAATCTGCGGGTGCGGGTTCGACTCCCGCCTGGGGTTCGACTTTTGCCCATAACTCAGCATTCTTGTGATAACTTTTGGATCGCAAGCTGCGGCGTAAAACAGCAGTCATCATAACAAAACAGCTAATTTCAGATATTGAGTAGGTCAAGAATGTCACTTTGTATCAAACGGTCCCAGGGCACTGAATTTCGCCAAGCGCAAGTACAGTCCTCATCATTGCGGACCGGTGGGGCGTGTCAGCCAGTATGAGTGTGCACACTGTTGAAGC